TTCAATAAACTTAAAACCAAAGTGAATTTAATTTAATACAAAAAAATCACAACATCATATAAAATTAATAACCTAAAACCCAAAAAAAAATTCAATTTAATCCAAAAAAACTTAAAGTCACATGTACCAAAAGATAATAAGTAATATAAAACCATATCGAGTAATATACAAAACTTATCGAGTAATTATATTTTGACTTGACCTCCAAAATATTACATATTAACATCCAAAAAAATATTACATATTAACATCCAAAAAATAACAATTTTAGATTCTAAACCTAGTTAAGAAATAAGAAATTATAAATTATCGCTTTAGTTGAAATAAATAATATACTATATACATGTGTGTGTATAATTTATTAATATATATATATATATATATATAATGGGTAAGGGGCGGGGCGAGGAGTACCATACCCGTCCCCGTCCCCATCCCCGGTTTGAAACAAACGGGGATCTCCGTCCCCGTCCCCATCCCCGATTTAGCGGGGAATCCCCGTCCCCGACCGGGGCAGGTGGACCAGGTTCCCCGACAGGTCGGGGGCCATTCCCATGCCTAAGAGAGATCTCCACCCTTGAATGCACAATAGAATGAAATGCACCAGATCAATCCTTGTATCAAGCGCAATTCATGGGTGAGTTGGAGATTGAAGATGATTAAGAGTCCAGATCCCTTCTTACGCTTCTCATCTTAACTCTACTTTTCACACGATCTTTCGCCTAATAACCAAACAGATTCAAGTAATATGGTTATCATAATAGATGATTTAATTAGGTGTTGCTATATGCACTCTATCTATGTAAGAATCAAGTCATATTATATATTAAAAATGTAAAAAAATAAGTGTTGATGTTGATGCGTGTGAGTAAAAAAACTAGTATATAAAAGTGCATTTAACCTACCTTTTTTAAATATATTGAGTTTAAAAATGAACAAATTCTATATCAAAGATAAGGGTGTTCAAGAAAACCGGAAAACCAAGAAACTAAGTAGAACCGTACGTTCCGAAAATGAAAAAACTGAAAATCGAAAAATCAAAAACCCGAAAACCTTAAAAACCGGATATTCACGGGTGGGTTTCGGTTTGAACTTTAGGTACCCGCAACCCAAACCGAACCAGATATAACACATATATAATATTCAAATGTTAAATATTTACATTATTATTTATATATTTATTAACACAAAGTTAAACGAGTAAAGTCTTTTATGTTTTGGCGTCAATAATTACGGTGGATGATTAAATTTTGTGTATAAAGTCGTGAAAGAGTTAACATTACCCGAAAATGGATGTTTTTTAAACAATTAAACTTATTTTAATTTGTAGAGTTCTGATTATTTTCATTTGTTATTGTGTAATTGTTTTAAATGTTATTTTTTGGTACCACTTTTATATTGTAAACGCTATTTCTTTATAAATCCAGCCAGGTAACCGTGAACCGAACCGCGAGTGATCGTCTTATTTCGGTTCGGTTCGGTTCAACCTGGGGTTCGGTTCAGGTAGCCAGGTATCTGTCTCATACGGTTCAGTTCACATTTCCTCTAGTAACTGAACTGAACCGAACCGAACCGAACCATGAACACCCTTGATCAAGGATACGTCAAGTTTTACAAGCATTACGTCAACATAATGCATTAAAAACATCTCCAACAGATTCTTCAAAAGGAGAACAAAAAATCTCTAAAAAAATTACACTAATCTCCAACAGATTCTCCATTTTTAAGAATTCAACTGTATAATATTAAAATATTTCATTGATCTATTAAAATGTTATTTCTCTCTATAATAATTATTTTCGAAGTTTTCTACTGGTAGAAATATATTAAAAATATTTTTCTTAAATGGTAATCATTTTTGGAGTAATCTTCATATTCGAAGGGGAAAAACCCTACTATTTACTACTTTTCCCATTTTGGAGATATTTTCTTATCGAATCTTTTGGAACTCAATTTTAGTTCAAAATCTTTATTTTTTTCTATTTTATAGAATCTGTTGGGGATGCTTTAAAAAATTGGATATTGAATAAAATAAACATTGATTTGATTTTTTTAATGTAATTTGCAGTGGAAAAATATTATATCTGATAACCATAAACTATCGACTATTTTGTACTTTTTTTCTATTGATTGACAAACACAAACTAACTCATTTTTAGTACGTGTTTCGATATACATAAACTAGCTTATAATCTAACTTATTAAAACGCTAGTTATAGTAGTTTTTAGTAGCTTATTGACTATTTTTCCAATTATGCCCTTATTATTATTAATTAATAAATATTAATTATAAATTACTAATTAATATTAATTCCAGTTTGTCAATTAATTATAATTTTTAG